CCGTGCCAAAGCCTCAGGGACACCCCATAGCAGCATCCCTGTACACAGAAGCCCAGCTAGATCCCTAATCTCAAAATACTAAACAACCAGAGCTCTTCCCATGAGAAATCCTAGACCTGGAGGTCTAGTCATCTGAAAAACACACATATATCATGATCCGAGGCACCAGCTCATCGTGAAGTTCTGCAACTTTGGCTCCGAACTGCGCTGGGTATGCAGCGGATGCGGCGAGATCTTTGGCACCCGTCCTGCAATTCATGGGCTTAAATTATAATTATGAAGCTAAGGTTATACGTCGATAGAATATATTGATTATGGCTGCAGCTGAGTCTCACTCGCTTCTTCCCAGTTCTTTGACATACATGTCGAGTAACGGTTTTCTTGTTCAGTGCAGCAGCTCGATCACGTATTTGTTGGCGCTTGTCGGCAGTAAGCTTGATATGAAGCTTCATCGACCACGGACTCAGCATGAGCAACATCATTGTTCATGATTATCACCATCACATGAAAGCCACATGTAACATTGCTCGAAAGTTCATGCTGAGCATCACACCAGTTGCTGACCCCAAGACTCGGCTTGCAGCACCAGTGTCCATACACTCCCATCCACCTGAGCAAGAGTGCCAGAAGTAAGGGCAGCTACATTTAGAGTGTTAGGGAATTCATATTGAACTGAACACACACCGTGGACAACAGAAACAGATAACACACTGAAAATGGATCGAGGGCACCATCCAGCAATCTTGCTTTGCATCAGCTTGCAGTCCAAATCCCGCAGAGAAAGAAGGTACTTCATGTAGGGGTAGAAAGTAATGGCCGATCGCATTGGATTTTCTACGAAATAAAATGCACCTCTAGCCATCGCTAGAAGTGCTACCAGTACTGCTCGTGCACACACCTTGTTTCCTTGTACAACGAAGGATTGCTGGGTGTCACCAAATGGTAGCCTTGCGGTCCGGCGGTGTCTTGAAGAGCTGACCCAACTGAAACTGCAGCACGGGACACCCAGGAACAGCAGGCCTTTGGGCTTCAGGCGCAAAGTATATTGAATAGCGAGGAGGAGGCCCAGTGTCGATTCGATATCTTGGTCGTCGTACCGTGTTCGATCGTATGTCAACCTCGAATGATAACACAGCTAGTGCTTGCACATATGATCTTACATGCACACCGTCACCCTGCTTGCCATGCAACCACATGCGAGAATGTCCACATACTGCCATACTGCTTTCGGGTCTAGTCTGAGCCAAGGAACGCCTTGTGATTTCGTTGACCTGGGGACATATACGACTGCATGTGTGACATTAATAAAGTTAACATCAAGATATGCCCAGTAATCACACTAATTGCAGACGAGTTTCGAAAGCCATGTGCAACAGCTGCAACTCCACAGAATAGCTCAGTGCACTGAGCATCCTTATTAGTACACAGCAAGGCTACATCGACCTACAGTAATAATAACCCCCAATCAAGGCATGCTGACATGGCACACGAAGATGCCCATCCTCATCAGGCCCCAGCGCCGACCTCTGCGCCACATAGTCGGCGGCATGCACCCTGGAGGTGCAGCATTGGGTTCAGTTTATTATAATTAACTAGTACTAGCGGTATCGGTGTTCATTTCAGCCACGTCGCAGAATCGGGGGAACGTGCAACAGATAGAGCAGCACAGTGGTGACAGCTGACAATTGCAATGGCTGGGGCCGGGGTCGCTCCATGCTGAATCTTATGCGTTGGCCCGAGTAAAGCCCAATGCAACAAGTTGTAAGCCCCAGGGCCCGAAGGGATTTAAATGCCATGGCATAGACATCTACATAGGGGCTGATCATCTAAATGTCGTCACTCTATAGCTTATAGGGTTACATGCATTAGGAAATATATATATATATATATATAATCAATCAGGGAACTACAGGGGCCATATTGATGAACCCCCACATACCCTGAACTAAAGTCGATCCCCTGGTGAGATCTAGAACTAGAATCGACAGTTGGACGAAGTTGGAACACAGGCCCTACACCTGTTAGGCCAAAGCCAGGTTCGAGAAGCAGCCAAGCAGCATCTACAGACAACAGCCAAAAGACTCCTTCCAGCTGCAGCTCATACGATCTCAGATTTTGTTGCCTGGCCTGGACCCTGCGGAAACTGCAGCAGCACTAGCTAGGCTAGCCCTGTAGCATTGAATTTTCAATGCATTCACAATTCGACGACTAGACTGCACAAACACTCCAGGGCTTCAATTGTAATAGTTCTTGCCTGGTCCTAGAGCTTGCTGCATAGACTCCCACGACCCATACATAAACCCAAACCTCGGACACCTTAGCCCATATGTTGTGTCACGGCAGCCAAAACGTTGAAACATCAACGGTGTCGATCTCAGTAGCCGGGAAGCTTCTTGATCGAGAGAAGCAGAGCTGAAGCCGAGGACGAGGATCAAGTAAGCTCATTATACAGCTAGATATGCATACAAGATCAGCTTCCTGCACGGCTGTGGACATCGATATCAAAATGTTCACTTCGAAGACTTCGACCACTCATGATCATGATGCCTCTGGCCGGGTTTCCGGCAAATGCACCACACCGGCCCTGAGAGGAATGTGAACTTGTTGTAATGCACGGCTGTTCTGGTTCAGGGTCGGGGCTCGAGGGTTCCCGAAATTTCTAGGGTACCGGGTACCCGGTAATGTAATTTACTAGACAGTATAAGCTTTAAGCATACACCAATACCCGGGTGCCCAGTACAGTATAGGTTTCACATTATAAGTTTACTTATATAGCGGGCTTCTCAGGACAGGCACGGATTAGGTTGGAGTTTAGAGCTTTGGGCTTAATGTGTTGAGGGCTGGGTGGCCTGGCTTAAATTAGGGTTTAAGTTTGGGGGCTTATTAAGTACTGGTTTACAGTGGAATCAAATGTCGGCCGAAGGGCTCCATATCAATGCTGGATTACACGAGGAATTTGCTTGGCTACAAACCCCAGGTAGTATTGTAGGCAAGTGGCTCAGGGTTCGTCTTCATCCATAGGATCCACATCACCACACCATCCGGCCAAGAACGTGGCCAGAAGCCACCTTAATTAGATTATAAGCCTAGTACAGTGAAAAACACCAATGTGAAATGCACATGCTGCAGGCTGTCGAGCTGCGCCCGGGAGGCACCGCCGTGCTTCATCCACGAGACTGTTGAGCCTTTTTTCTTGTCCACATTGACCTGGGATTGGAAATTATTTGGCTGGTGTGTAATTAATTAATGTAATACCGGGACACATATGGTTTTAAAGCTGCACTCTGGTCAAGAGTTGTGCTTGCAGTCACGAAGCTCCATAAGCCTCAGCATCATCCTTCTTAACTGTGCGCTGGACATAGTACACACTGCTGTACAAGCATACCGTCAACGGACAGATCTCAGGGATGTCATTGACTGCCCGGGGTGGCGCCACAGTGTAGCTCCTAAGATCGAACATGTAATTGCTCGACTCTGAGAACATGCTTCCTCAAGTTGTGACTTCATGATTGCTGCAGATGCAACCTAGCTGCTTGCCCGTGAAACCAACTTGTGGCTGGAGGTCTGGGTGCTTCTCAGCCAGGTTGCGGATGGTGCTCAGGTTTTGCAGTGCTAACTGCGTCCTTTTCTCTGCAAGCTCCTCGGCTCCGTTGCCACCTCCACCTTTGCAAGCCATACCTTTGCCACCTTTGCCTGCATCCTGCTCGGCACCCGGCACAGCAGCCTCTGACGGCAACCCCTCACCACCTCCCTTTAAGCTGGCCTTCCTGCCACCTCTGCCTTTACCTCTGCCTTTGCCCCTGCCTTTGCCTCTGCCTTTGCCTTTCTGCTCGGCATCCGGCACAGCAGCCTCCGACGGCAAGCCCTCACCACCTCCGGTTGAGCTGCTCCTTGCTGGCTCCTTAGCCCCTGCACCCTCCACATGCCTTTTCGCCGAGATGTGACGTTTCTTCTGCATGGGGTCACTTACAGGCTCAGCTCTGTTGCCGGCAGGAGGAGTAACAACCTCCGGAGCATCCACATCGGCCACACTGTATGTGCGCTTCAAGCCATTCTGCTGCTGCTGGTGCTGCTGCTGCTTATCTTTGCCACCTGCCTGCTGCAATGCGAGAATACTCATGAGTTCCCATGCAAAACACACATTATATCTAGACTTTCAGAATCCCAGGCCTTCTTTCGAGCACACTCTTCCTTGAAGTCTTTCTTGATTGCCCGCTGCCGGGTCAACACTGGGTTGACATTCACAGTTGGGGTGTCTTCTTCTAGCAGGGTGCGAAGGTCTTCAGGTAGGTCTTCGGCATGGGCCACAAGTGGCTTTCGATCCTAGTTTGGTGTTTTAGGGCTCGGTGCATTGGCGATTTAGGGTTTGAGGCTTCGTTGTAATATAAGGTTCCAGGGCTTCTACGGACATATTTTGAGATATTATTATTACTTATAAATAATCAGTAATATAGTAAAAAGTATTGAGTATCTAATAATAGCACTTCGGGACATGGAGTTGGGAGCAAATATATAACATATGCAAGTTATAATATATGTAGTGAACACTACAACTTAATGATTGCTGGCAGGTTGCTTTCTGACCCACTGGCCTCGACTTGGCATTCACCTCCAAAGTGTCTAGGCTTACACTTTATTTTGCCTTTGGGAAGTTTCGATAAGAATATCGTTCACGGTCCGGGGGTGCATTGCGGGGCATTGGAAGACGACATTTTCGGGTTTATTCAGTCCAAGGGTCGCGGGCCGTCCCAGCTGCTGGATCTGTTGTCACAGACACAACCTCACACATTATATGGAATCACCGGTTATAGTTCGAGATCGGTAATTATGCATCGCCACTGTCGTGTTGAAATAATGTAGCCCAGAAACTTTGAAGGACGGGGTTGCAGATTCACCCACCTCAACTTCGGCAGTCTGCTTTGCCACTCTAGCAAGCTACAACCATATTTCTGATATACATCTCAAACTATAAACGACAGGTACCAGAACCGTTTAGGCACTGCTGGGCCGGTGAGGTCCCCAGACTCGGCTTTCAACATCTCCTCCCGCAGCTGGATCTCCAAGGGATCTATCTGACCCTCAGTAGTACAAAGACTTAGCAGATGCATGATACACCGATGCTGACAGTAATGCTTGAATATAGTCTAGGCACATCATCCGGGCCCAGTTCGGCTAGAGCCTCCTCCTTGTCAATCTCCATGGGGTGTGGGACATCCTGAACATTAGCTAGGCTTCTAGAACTACGACATTCGAAGTCAAGCAACATGTGAAAAACCATAATTAAATGTATCATCGTTATTAGGCACCTCCGGGCCGGCAAACTCCTCCTCCGACTCGAGCTCTTCTTCCCCGAGAATCTCTGTGGGAAGTGGGACATCCTTGGAGTACAAAGTCTAAGGATGAGTATATATGGATATCAAGCGCTACAGTTAGACTCAGAAGATCATTACATCATATCGTTTGAGGGCCTCCGGACCAGCAAACTCACTGGAGTCGAAGTCGGCGAGCTCCTTTTCCCCGAGAATCTCCGTGGGATGCGGGACATCCTCAAGCTTTGGAGTACAACATCTCAGTATGAGGGTAGATAGCTAGATAGCATATATTTTTGGAATCAATTGTGCAAAGATGTACGTAGTATCACTGGGGAGCCTCTGGGCCAGCAAACTCATCAGACTCGGGGAGCTCCTCAGCCCCGGCAATCTCCACAGGATTTGGCACATCCTCAGTGGCATATGGGGAGATGCACATCTGTATACATGTATACATACATGATCATGCTACCTTGCATTGTACCAAGCTATTTGAGTCAAACAACTGATGGCAGGTCCGTTCCATCTCTGCTTAGTGATTGAGATGAGAGTAGCCGATGCAAAGCACTGTCAAGGTCCTCAGTTGGGGTAGCATTTTCGATCATAGATCACAGCAGTCACTTGCAACACCAATAGGTTCATACAGGGTTTAGGGGTTAAGGATTTAGGGTTCGGGCTTCTTAAAATATAATAGCGATTTTTAAAGCCCAGCTACCGCTTCAAGACTGCGGGGTCGGATATCCGGGCTTGCATCCTCCCCCGAGCCTGCTCCCTCACTGGGAGCACTCTCATCCTCAACCTCATCCCGCAATGCCTGAGGCTCATCATCGCCACTTTCGGCTTCCTCCTCATCCGGGCGGCTGTGGAACGACTCCTAAGCTCTCGTGTTCGAAAAAAAAGCAGTCCGACCAGGGCATTCGACTCCAAGCTGGCTACTCCCATGCCCTCAAAAGTAGACGATTATGCAATGCAAAGAACTAGATCTGAATAGGGTTAGGGTTTTGGCAGGTTGGCGTTTTAACATCCTAGTTTAATTTAGCTAGGCTTTCGCGGGGCTTATACATAGGATATTTAGCTCGAGGATAATTTGTTCTATCTGAGATTCCATAGTGGCCCATTCCATCTTCACGGCAAACAGCTGCTTCAAGATGAGGATCTTGGTTTTCCTGAGATGGGATACTGGGAGCTACCGGGGTTTTCGGCAATATGTTGCTAGCTATTATTTCTTTAATGCGGCTCATGGCACTTAGCATGAAGGGTGCGTCGTGTCACACGCTGCAGGTTAGCCAGCAACTGGCGTAACTTGGCCCCTTCCTC